CTCAAGTCTATAAACAAGACCTTTCTGAAAACATGAAACAACAGGATCTGCCCACATAGCCCAGGCTGGCCTCAAACTCTCCACACCCTTGCCCCCCTCCATATTCACCTTATATAAGCGCTTGTGTAATTTGGCTGCTATTCATTTTTTAAAAGTAAAGACTCTTAGTGTTTTTGATCAGTCAGAACTAAGTAGTCTGTTATTAAAGGCATTGACTGTCACTTTCTCTCCATCCACAGTGACAGAAGAAGTTTGCCAAATACTTAGAGAGGCATTAGCCTTTAACTTACTGGTCGCACAAGCCAAACAGGATCTGCATCCAGTAACCGTTTTTTTGGCAAAGAGGTGCCAAGCACTAATACCCACTCGTGATCTGCCCTCTTGTCCTTGTTTTGATGACCTTACAGGTCCCATGGCTGCTGAGGCCCAGCTAGGCCTTTCTATTCCTTGGAAGTATTAGGAATGGAGACAAGAGCTTCCTGTAGCTAAGAAATGTCTACTGGTGGGTGAACCTGCAGCTCTCTGCCAGTTTGTCAGAGCTGGCATCAGGATTTATTTGTAGACCTCACAGCGGTTTAGTGCCTTGATTCTGGATGTCAGAGAACACATGACAGCTACACCTTTCCCCACTGAGTGAAAATTCACACTTGAGCCATTAACATTCACTTGAGCCATTAACATTCTGTGACCAGATATTTCTATCGTTTCCCTACATACTCACGTTGTTCTATATGTGTGTGTGCAATTTCTTGTGTGTTGTATGTGTGTGAGAACTTGCCCATATGTTGATTTTGGGTGTGGTTACATGGTGTGGTGGCTAGTTTTATGTCTAAAGTCATCAGAAAGACGTAACCTCAATGAAGATCAACGTGCCTCCAATCGGCAGTGGTGGTGCACTCCTTTAATCCCAGCTCTCTGGAGGCAAAGGTAGGTAGATCTGTAAGTTTGAGGCTAGCCTGATCTACAGAGAGTTCCAGAACAGCCAGGGCTACATAGAGAAACCTGGTGTGGAAAAGCAGAGAAGCACAATGAAGAACGAGAAAAGAAAAAAGAAAATGCCTCCGTAATTTTGGACTGGAGGCAAGCCTGTAAGGCATTTTCTCACTGTGTCTCTGCCTCCCCTGAAGACGGGGTCTCCTGTGAAGCCCTGGCTGTATTGAAACTCACTTTGTAGACCCTGCTAGCCTCAAACTCAGAGATCTATCTGTCTGTGCCTTCATGTGCTGGGATTAAAGTTGGCCAGCAACACCCCTTGGCCAGGCATTTTATTAATTAGTGATGAATGTGGGATGGCTAAGCCCAATGCACTGATGCCATCTCTTGACTGGTGGTCTAGGTTTCTATAAGATAGCAGGTTGAGAGAGCCATGGGAAGCAAACCAGGAAGCAGTACTCCTTCAAGGCATCTGCATCAGGTCCTGCCTCCAGGCTTCTGTACAGCTTGAATTCCTGTCCTGACTTTGATGATGAATGGTGATGAGGAAGCATAATCCAAATAAACCCTTTTCTCCTTAATTTGCTTGTGGTCATGATATTTTATTACAATAATAGCGATCAGCTCGTTAAAAAAAAAAAAACAAAACATTATAATAAAGCCTTGTGCAGTTTGCAGCAAGCTCTCTAATCCGCCTGGTGATTACTGTCCTACAAGATGTCTTGGGAGGCCCTAGGAGCTGTCTTTGTTAGCCATCCGCCATAGCGGGTGGGTGAAAGACCTGAGCTAACATGGGGTTAGCTTGTTAAATTATAATAAAGCCTTGTGCAGTTTGCAGCAAGCTCTCTAATCCGCCTGGTGATTGGGGTGACCGTGAATGTGGCCTGGGACCCAGGATACCTGAGTTTTCCGGGGGTCTAACAAATGTGGGATGGCTAATCCCAATGTGGGTGGTGCCCGCTCTTGGCTGGTGGTCCGGGGTTCTATAATACAGCAGGTTGAGCAAACCATGGGAAGCAATCCAATAGCAACTGTGGAGGACCGAATAATTCTGTTATGGAATATTTGGGGGCCCAGTCTCTAGCTCCTGTAAACACAGACCACCTGAAAGGACCACCTGAAAGCTCCAGCTCACCATTGTATTGTTAATGCTAGTAGGGCTACTGTTGCTTACCATGGCCTCAGGGTAATATGCCTCTTATTTGCATCTCTGTGCACCTAAGCATCTGAATAGGCCCTCACCTGGGCAGGGAGAGCAGAGATGTGTGAGTAACTTGTGAGGATGAAGGTTAGGAGTTAGGGGCAAGCGACCAGAGAGCAGAGAGGGAACATAGAGAGAAATGGTTCCCTCTTGGTCATGACAGTATGGTTAAGAAACAGCAGAAAAGATGGCTAATAAAGAAATGACTCTAGT